GACCGCACGCGTCTGGGAGAAATGTCGCCCTCGCCCCCCAGTGCCGTGCCAAGTCGGCTTGAGAACTGAACCCACTCTGGGGCGCTGTGCACTTTTGTTGGTTCGCCGCGTCGCCTGAATCGGGGCCAAGGCCAACGATTGCGGGATGTCGCTCTCGCTCGAAACGCCGCGCAACTTGTGATGGAAATTGTGCTCGCGCTTGGGCGCGGCGCATGTTTTTTGAGAGTTGCAGCCTGGGCAAAGCGCATATTTGTCCTTCGCGAGCGCGCTCGCTAGGTGGGAGCTCGCGCCAGTCCCAATTTCCAGTTGTGCTGGTATTGATTATCTTGTGTTATGGAAGGGCGAGTGAGTGCGCTCTCGAATAGGCGTGCCGCTATCTTTGCCCGCCAAGCCAATTGGAAGCGTAGCCGCGAGAGTGCACAACAGTATGCTCGCCCATATGCCGCACATGCGTCTCCTGAAAGTTCGCTTCGCGCTCAGGCGCGGCTTCTGCTGTGGCCCCCCAAGTCATTGTCAGCGATGTCGTGAGCGAGAGAGCAAAATGTCACTCTTGCCCAGGCACCCTTCAACTGTCTCGGGGAAGTTGCGGCCCCTATGCGTGGCGCATTTTTTGCCCACGCCAATCCCAATGTTCGGCTTTTTTCTCCCCGGCACTGGTTCATGTCATCGGATGGGTGTGGGGGGGTGTCTGGAGCTCGCAGGCTCGCTGAGCTGTCCATTTTCGTAGCTAACCCTATCCTTCCTACCCGGTGCGGAGCACTCACGCACCACCTCGCTTTCGTCGCGGCAGCTGCCCCAAATTTGGGAGGCCCGCTTGGCAAGGCCTGCGGCACTACAGCGTCGGCGTTTGTCTTCTCAGCGTGGACAGTGCGTTGTGGACGCTGCCGCGCGCGTGGCAGGAACGGGACGCGGCGTACGTCGTGAGCAGAGAAGGAACACTGCGTTGTCGCCCAAGCGCGCCGAAGCTGCTTGAGGAGGCTGGGGTGCCGCTTGGACAACACTCTCGGGGGCGACAACTCCCGTTGGGGCGGAACCGCGCGTCATCCGGCCCTTCATCTTACTACGTGAAAGGAATGAGCTGTGCGCCTCCTGCTTCCTTCGCCTGGGGAAGCTTTGCGCTAGATGTGCATCGCGCGAATCGAACAAAACAACATGTGTACGGCAACCCAAGTCCGTATGCACGCTGGGCTATGCTATGATAGGAGCGGTGGTTGGGAGTCGGCCAGGCTCGCTGTGCCGCTCGAGCTGCTTAGTTGGATCCCGATGTTTTCCGCAGCGCGTATCTGCGCGAACTCCCTCCAATGGGACGCGGCGCACGTCGCGCGCGAGTGAGCGAAATGTCGCTCTCGCCGACGCCGCGCGCCCTTTATCTCCTGAGAGTTGCGCTTCTGCTTCGACACAGCGCGCTGCTCCCTTTATTGTCCGCCGATTCGCAAGCAGCTGCGTTGCGCGCGAGCGAGCGCAATGTCGCTGTCGCCGACGCGACGCGCATCTTTGTTCCTGAGAGTTGCGCTCCTGCTTCGGCACCGCGCGTCTTTTTCTTTTTACTGTCTGCCGATTCGTCGACAGCTGCGTTGCACGCGAGCGAATGGAATGTCGCTGCTGCCAGTGCGCCGACCGGATTCTTCGACTGAAAGCGGCCCCCATTCATCGCGTCGCGCGTCGCGCGCGAGTGAGCGAAATGCCGCCCTCGCCAATGCGCCGCGACTTCTTGTTTCTGAGAGTTGCGCTCCTGCTTTGGCACGGCGCACTGAATAATGTCCGCCAATTCGTCGACATCGGAGTTGCGCGCGAGAGGGTGAAATGTCACTGCCGCCAGGAAACCGTGCAGAGGTCGTCTGAAAGTGGCGCGTGGGGACGCGGTGCGCTTTTTTTCGGATCTGTGGCGGAGCTCACGCTCGTGTGTTCATTATGCAGATGATCCTGGCCAGCGTGACGCAACATGTATGCACATGTCAGATAATTTGGATGCAATGTCCTGTGCTCTTCTGCTGTTGCGTTGGGTGCCACGTGAGTGCTGATCGTTAGCTACTCATCGCAAACGAAAATGCGAAATCTCGCTCTCGACTCAACGCCGCGTCTTTGTGCAACTATTTCATGGCAACCGCGACCCCGTCTGCGTTGAGATTCTTTTTGTCATATCAAATTGTGTGGAACAGGCTTGCGCCACAGCGAACGGAATATTGCTGTCCGCTCAGAAGCCAAATTTTCATCGGATATCGCGTCCTAGCTTTGGCGCGGCGCATGTTTCTCCCTCGTCACGTCGTCCGACTCGGAGCCCGCTGACTCATTCAGGCTGCCTAGCTTGACCTGCACTTGTACTCACGATCCTACAACGGCTCACTTCCAATCATGATCCTCGCCGCCCTCCTGCTCCATCTCCTCCTCCTCCTCCTCCTCCTCCTCCTCCAAACGTCCTCCCCTTGTTTTTTGGGGGGAGAGGGGAGGAGGGGGAGCGGACACGACAGCACGATGCCACTCTCGGCGAGGGCAGCCAATGAGCTGCCTCAGGCGCCGTGCAAACGAAGCGTCCGACCACGTAGGTGAGCAGCCCAGCGAGCGGTGGCGTAGATGAATTGTCACTGTGCGGCGGAAGGCTCAAAGCTAACCGCCCTCCCTCTCTGGAGACCTCCCAGATGGCGCCGAGAGCACCTTTCTCCGTCGGCGGCGAGGCGAATCGTACCAATAATAGAAATCGTACTAATAAATACTGGTAAATGATCATTCTGATCCGATAAAAGTAAGTAAAACTACTAATAATAATACAATTAAATATGATGATAAAAAAAAACAGAATAATGAGGAGGCGGAGGGAGGAGAGAGGAGGAGGGAGGGAGGAGGAGAAGGAGGAGGGAGGAGGGAGGAGGAGGGGCCGAGAGCACACGGGACCCGAACATCGACCCACACCGCCGCTGCACCAGGCGCCGCCGGGAGGGGGAGCACGCCGAGAGGCCCCCGCCCGCGCCGCACCGGCCACGCCTGGGGGCGACCTGCAGCCCCATGGCCCCCTCGAGTCACGAACAAATCGAGACGGAAGGTTTCTCTATACTTTCTGCCTCTGGAGGCCCTCACCGGGCCTCGGGACCGTCAAACAGCGGTCGGGGCCCACCACAAGGGGAGGGATCCTGAGGGGCATCGGATTTCCGGAACACGATGCCCCCTGCGCGCCCCGATTGTGGACGCGGCCGGAGACCTCGTTTTGCTTTGTTTTCCTGGTTTTCGATGCGCCAACGGACCGAAATCACCCCCCCTGTGGTCCCCCCCCCCCCCTTTGCGAGGTCCCAGAGCGGCTCAGGATGAGAAACCAGAATGGGTCCGGAACTCTGGGGGTCGCGTCATGAAGAAGTCCTGGCGTCGGGGGCCTGGGGCAGGAGCTCGACCTCAAGAGACCCTCCACGAGAAGCCCATCCCTGAACCCCCCAGGATGCCCAAGGAGCTTTGGCGCGGGAGGGCCGCGCTTTCCATGAGAGCCATCGAAGCTCAAGAAACACCTGACTCCCTGGAGACAAGCGACGTGTTTCTTGACATGGGTTTCCACTGTCAAGGGGCCCTTTTGGACCCCTTTTGACGCCCAAGGGGCCCTGAAGGGCCCCTTTCAAGCCCTTCTCTTCACCCATTTGAAAACACCTCTCATTGCCACCCGCTCGAGACGCTTCTGCGATACGGTGCGCCCCTCAGAGGAACAAACACAATTCACAAACACTAAATGCTGCGAGGTCCGCGCGGATTTGTTAGATCGCCTAACTACCCACCTCTCTGGCGCGCGGGGCGCGACAAGGGGCGGCACCGGAGGCGCCGCCAAGGATGCCCAGCGCCGATCCAAGAAGCCCCCGCGGACCTCCGAGAAATCAATGCCTATGAAAATGGTTCTTCTTCGACGCTATCTCGGGGCTTCGACCTCGCCATGCCCCATGCCCTTGCTGCGGCCGTCGGTTGAGCCATGAATCGGCGGCAAGCGAAGGGAGGGAAGTGAGAAGGAGTAGGCCTTCTCAGAAGGCGGCGGGAATTCTCCGAAGCCCTCGGGCCCCCTGAGAAGTTTCCTGCGTCTTCGCGGAAGGCTCTGAACACTTCTCAGAAGGCCTGGGGACTTCCGAGCCTTCTGGGAAGGCCCGTCCCTTCTCGGGCGCCTGGTGGCTCTCCGGTCATAACTCGGCTCCCCTGTGACCGTTCGGGACGATCAGGGCACCCTCAGAACGCCCTCGGCGAGGCGCAGCTGCTGGAGCGCACTCCGAGGTTGAAGACCGCCGAGAAACGGCGACGACGCCCGAAACCTCCCCCCCGCCCTCGCTCGCCGCTGAAAGCTGGAGGCCCGCCCCTTCTCGCCTCCCCCCCGCCCGGGGCTCGCCGCCGAGGGAAGGAAGCGAGCGCCACAGAGGGCACCTCGCTGGAGGGGGAGTTCGCCGCGGCGGGCGAAGGCGCACGCCCTCTCTCCCTCTCTCGGAGGCCGCCCCGCCCCCGGAGGCCCTGGTGGGGCGAGGGGGGGGGGGGGGGCGGGGGCGGGCAGGGAGCGCGGGGTCCTCCTCCTCCTCCTCCTCCTCCTCCTCCTCCTCCTCCTCGATCCTCCTCCTCCTCCTCCTCCTCCTCGATCCTCCTCCTCCTCCTCCGCCTAACCCTCCTCTTCCTCCTCCTCCGCCTCCTCCTCCTCCTTCTCGTCCTCCTCCGCCTTGTCCTCCTCCGCCTCCTCCTCCTCCTCCTCCTCCTCCTCCTCCTCCTCCTCCTCCTCCTCCTCCTCCTCGGCGGGGAGGGAGCGCGGGGAAGGGGGGTGAGGAGGAGGAGGAGGACGACGACGACGAGCACCTCTCGGAGCAATGGGTGACTTCGCCGACCTACATGGGAGCTGTAGGACCGACCTAGCGGCCGCGAGTCCCGCCCGCCCACAACTTACAGGGCTTGCAAACCTTAAGTTTCAGTCGCATCTAACTCGAAAAACCCAAGAGCCTGGTCGCGGAGCCCGAAAGACTCCCCCCGAATCCCGAAGCACGAAACTCACGGATCACACGGGCCCGTTTCGTGGACGGCTCCTGGAGGGGGGGAGAAGAAGGAGGAGGCAAAGGGGGAAGACAGCCGCGCGGAGCATCGCGGAAAGACCTGGCCTCAAGCCTGGTGCACGCCGCTGAACTCGAGCATCCCGAACTCACCTCAATCCTGGGAGCCTCATCTGCTTCAGAACATGTAAATGCATACGAGAAGTCAGAGCCTCCACCACCACACAAGTTGTTAGTAGCATTGGCACCGCTTGAAGATCCAGTCGCTTGCTGCACCCACACTCCCGCAGCAGGCGCAGTCCCGCCCACAGGATGTAGAGAAGAAAGGCCATCATATGAAACTCCAGTCATCGGCTGCACCGACACCCCAGAAGAAGAGTCTTATCCCGCCCAGGATCCATCAACATGGCATCGCCAACGCACGGAGCAGTTACACATCCTCGTCCGTGAGGAAACTCTGAAGCACGCGCTCGAGATGATTCATCGGCGCCACGGCAATCTTCTGTTCTGCTCCCAGCTGCACCAAGCAATCTCCTAGCACACGCAGTGGCGCGTGCACGCTCATCACTATCTTTACAGTCTCGCGGCGAGATACCGAGGACACTTCCACGAACGGATACTGGCGCATCGCCTCCTTGATGCTGATGCTGTTGACCTCCTGCTGCCAATATTTGAGCTTCTTGGCGTTCGCGGCGCCCACGGCGCCCCCTGCCTCGAGACAACCTTCCGTGGCCCCCGCGAGCGCCGCCAAAGAGATGGATCCCGCAGCCTCTACCTCGGCGTCCTTTTCGCGGGCCTTCAAGTCCTGGGCGTTCTCAATGCAGGCGCGCACTCCGGCGCGACTCTTGACCACGGGCAACGCGCTCTCGGGGATGAGGAACGTCATCATGGTGACCGCATCGGTCTGACGTGTGCGCATGGTCACGTCGAGGGGGAGCTTGACTACAACAGACATGATCCGCTGAATCTCGTCTACATCCATGCGCTCGAGGCCCCGTAGCTCCTCTGGGCCAATCTGCTTCTTCGAGGCCTTGCGCTGGTCCCCCTTCTTGGGTTTGGCGCCGGTTGCCTGGCCTTCGACGCGACGGCGGCGATTCTCGCCTGGACTTCTCTCGTCGGGCAACTTCAGAGCAGGGGGCGCCGCAAACATACTAAGCGAACTCTGGAATCGGCGCGGGTAGGTGACTCCGCAGGTGGCGGCGCAACGACTCGAGAGAAGAAAATGGCTCCAGACATTCGGGGCATGCTCGAACTTCGGGGTCCTCGGTCGGCGGAATGTACTTCGACGAGCCGACGCGACAACGACCATGCTGGCACGCATGAACCACATGTCGGATGGCCGTCGCTCTCGCTCGGAAGGTCGACGAACCAGCGACGCATTGGTTGGTGACGACGAGCTTGGACATCGGCGACGGGGTACTGCGCTGGCCTCCAAAGGCCTGGCGTTGATGAACGAGGAGTGCACGACGGGTCGCGAAACGTCGATCGCCCTGAAGGCCATCGGAGGTGAGCAACTCGCACGCATGATCACCATCATCTGACTCACCTGGTTCTCGGGGGCTCTCAGCGGGAACGACGCGCCGCAACGGCCACTCCGCGCGAATCTGATGCATGTCTAGCTTCTGAAACGCTTCGAAAGCCCCCTCCCCCTTCCTGAACACCCCCCTGCAGTCGTCGCCCATGCTCTCGGACGGGCTCCGCGAGCAGGGGGGCTCCGCGGGGGTCTCGGCCTCCAGATCTCCAAGAAAGGCCGTGATTTGTCGGATGTGCCATCCTGGGGGGGTCATGATTCTTCACGCTCGCGCAACCTCTGGACCCGAAGCTCGAGTCCGATGGAGACAAGGCCAGCGCGTTTCCAGATCACCTCAGCGGGCGGTGCGCGCATCGCAATATTGACAGATCCGCCCCCTGCTCTATCTCCACCTGAGCCGCCACTCCACCGAGCAGAACCTCCAGATATCCCAATCAAACAGAGCCGAGGCGCGCAATCTGGGAGCCGGAGAGGACGAGGGCGGCCAATCCAGAAACGGCAGCGCCAATCACATTACCCCTGGGCGCCATCTTTTCCGCGCGCCATGACTTACACTGCGACCAGAAGCCTTTCATGCGGGCCCGCCCTCTCGGGGCCGCAGCGCGCCTCGCAGGGGGGGGGGGGGGGGGGTGGTGGAGGGGGCCCGGCGTTCCCTTTGGGGTCTGTCTGTCTTACGCTTCATCGCGGAGCTCCGCGACTCGCCTCCGCAGCGCCCCAGCGTCGAGGAATTCGGACCGGCGGCCGCGGGGGGGGGGGGGGGCGGAGCGCGACGCGCGCGGGGCCCTGCGGTGCCGCGGCCTCGGCAAGGTCCAACAACAATCGGCATGGCCCCCCTGCCCGGACCGCGGCGAGGCGAAAGAAATGGTAGAAAGCGATGGCGAAGACAAGATCTCCGCGGTGCCCGAGACGGGCGGCGATGGAAGAAGAAGAGTCAGAGCGAATAACGAGGGCGACATGATAATGGAGACGACGGCAATTGCAAACGTAATGCGCCGTCGTCCCCTCCCCATCGCATCCAAGAGCGCACTGCTGGGCGCGCTTGCTAAATTGCGCAGTGGTTGTTTGTGGGGCCAGGAACCGCCGCTCCAAACCGAAACCGCTGCTCACCGAAGCCGCCGCGCAAAAATAGCGCACACAAGGCCGAAACAGCTGCCCACCGAGGCCGCCACACAGAAATAGCGCGCACAAGGCCCAAACCGCTGCTCACCGAGGCCGCCGCGAAGACATCGCGCGAGAGCCGCTCGCATAAGCCCAAAACGAAACAATGGCCGCTTCAAGCCGAATCTGGCGCGCGGTGGGGGGACGAGAGGCAACCGCGCCTACGCACTTACATTAAGGACAGTAGCCCTCGGGCTATGGCAAACGGTTGGACGAGGGAGAAAAAGGAGGAGGAGGAGGAGGAGGAGGAGGAAGAGGAGGAGGAGGAGGAGGAGGAGGGGAGGGGGGGGGGAGGGGGAGGAGGGAGCAGGGGATGAGTTGGAGAAGTTAGAGGAAACGGAGGAGGAGGAGGAGGGGAGGAGGAGGAGGAGGAGGAGGAGAGGACGACGACGACGACGACGACGACGACGGCGACCTCGACGGCGACGGCGACGACGACGACGACGACGACGACGAGGGAACGAAGGAGGGAGGACGGCGGGTGGAATGAGAGCGTGCTCGGGAGCGATGGCCTCGCCGATTTCGCCGATGCGCAGGCGGGCGCAACGGGCGGGGCGCGGCTGGCGAGAGTACCTCCCCTCCCCCTCCTCCTCCTCCTCCTCCTCCTCCTCCTCCTCCTCCTCCTCCTCCTCCTCCTTCCTCCTCTTCCTCCTCTTCCTCCCCCCACCGTCCCACCGCTAGGCCATCGGGTCGGGCCTGGCGTCAGAACTCGTTGCGTTGGGCTGGGTGTCGGGCTTGCCCTCCTCACCCCCCTGCTCCTCCTCGTCATCGGATGTCTCGAGCTCGTCTACCCACTTGCCTTGCGTCCTACTCCACCGCGCATAATCTTTCCCAGCCAACTGCTCTTGCCTCATTTGCTCTCGGTCCATCGCCTCTTTGATAAACTTGCGCACCCGCTCCTGGGACCGTTCCTTGGCAACAGAGGTTCTACTCTCCCCCGACGACCCAAGCGGAATCCTGAGCAGACCCACGCCTTGCGAGATGATGGTAGCGATAATTGCGACGACGACGACGATGATGACGATGGGACTGATGACGATGATAATGATGACGATGGCAACCCTTCCTAAAAGGATCCCGATATCGACCCTCGTCGGCGAGCCCCAGGAAGCCCCGCTGATCTGAGCTCCAGGGCTGTGATGGACGCGGGGGGAAGGAAGGAGGGAGGAACGAGGAGGGAGGAACAAGGAGAGAGGTATGAGGACGTGGGAGTGGGAGCAATGAGGGGAGGGAGACCAGAGCGGGAAGGATGGAAGAAGCAAGGAGGAGAAATGATGAGGGAGGGAGGGGACGGTAAACATCTCTGTCGAAGCGTTCAAATGCTTCCCACTTGTTTCTGCCGCGATGCCCACTGCAGAACTCTCTAAACTGGGTGCTGACATGACGAGGTGCAGGAGGTCTAGGGCATTTGACTGCAGGGGGGAAGGACAGGAAAGGATTTCAATGGCCTGGAAAGGTGCGTTCTTTCGTGCTCGCTGCGCTGATGCGAAATTGCCCAGACGGGTTCTTGAATCCAAGAGTCGCCGAAAACGGTGACCCTCCAAACTCACAAATAAGTCGCTAGCTGAGGCTCCCCGCGCCATGGCGTCGCCAGTGCGGATGCGGCCTCTGCCCAAGGCCTGTCCCTGACTCCCACGGCCCACGCCGCTAGTCGCCGCACCGATGACGAGCCTTGGCGTCAACTAGCGCACTGCACTGCACACTGTACACTAGCCACTAGCCATTGGCAGTACGAGCAATGCCCTCAGTCCGTCACGCCTCCTTCGAGAGCCGGAGTCGTCTCCTGGCTCTCAGCGACCAGCTGAGCTGTGCTCTTCGTCTCGTTTCCGTCTGGGTTCGACTCCCCCCAGCTCTTGACCTGCTTGCTGACGTCCTCTGGCAACTGGGGAAGGAAGCTGAAACGCAAGCCGTGACACGGCTCCGGCACGAGCTCCCAGACAAGGTAGTGCGGTGGCATGAACAAGAGCGAGTTCTCGCTGATCGTGGCGCCCTCCAGGAAGTTCATTTTAGCGAGGTCGTCCTCGCAGATCGACGTGAGGGCCCAAGACTGCAGACTCGTGCTCGTGGTGTCGTCAACCTTCGCGGTGGCCTGCTCCTTCGCGAAAGTGGCGATCTCACCGTAGGGCGCGGCGATGAAAGTCCTGCCGCCACAAGCCTGGGGATCGTTCACTGAGATTTGCCTCCTCCTCCTCCTCCTCCTCCTCCTCATCATCCCCCACTCCTTCCCTAGATTCCCCCCCTCTTCTTCCTGCTACTCCTCCCCCCTCATCCTCCTCATCACCACTCTCATCTCCTCTCCAGACCCCTGGCTTTATGTCAGCCATCCTGGAAGCGAGCCGTCGGCAAGCCCATGAAGTCTGACCCGAAAGAGGTCTGCTTGCCAGCCACGCCGAAGATCGACATGCAAAGCTTCGGCGCCAGGCGCAAGGGCGGATCCTTGGCGAGGGCTGGAAAATGGCCGAGGAACTGCTTGAAAGCACCAACGATCTCCTGAAGGCCGTTGCACCTGAGCTTGCAGTGCGTGCGCCCAGATGCCTTCACTGGAGCCGAACTCAAATACCCTTGCTTGAACATGTCGAGATTCGTCTTGATCTCAGCCCCATTCGCGCTCTTGATGACATCGATGATCGACTCGCACTTAGTGATGATGAACGGCTTATTGATGTCATCGGGCTTGCTGGCCATAAAGTCGGCGTCGGCCGCGTAGGTGACGATCGGCTTGGAGTAGTCCATCCCCTTATCGAGAATTATGCTCCCAGCTGGCTTCGTACCTGGCTGCTGCTTCGCCAACGCCTTGGCCTGCGCCCTCTGCTCCTTCTGCTGGTCTCGCAGCTTCTGCCTATCCTCAGCCTTCTTCCTGCTCTCCTCTGCCTTCTGCGCCTTCTTCTGTGCGTTCTCGCGGTCCTTCAAGGCTGCCTTCAGCTCCGTGCAGGCCTCGGTGAGAGACGCAGCCAGCTCAGTGTATGCGACGTGGGTGTCGTTGAGTCCCATCTCCATTTGCTTGAGATCCTCGATGTTCTTGGCCGTCTTCAGGTTCACAATGCTCGCATGAAAGGCTCGCAGCGGCACCAATTTATCTGGGGCTGTGCAAGGCTTCAACTCCATCCTCGACAGAACATGTTCGATTCTGGTTTTTGACTCGTCGGGCTCGCTGGCGGCCGGCAGAGTCTCAGGCACCCCTTTGTCGTAGCCCTCCAGCGCGATTGTCGCCAACTCCAGTCGCGTCCGAACTACGAGCATGTACTCGTCGGCATCCTTCACGTCCTTGAGCTCCTCCAGACTAGACGTCGTCTTGGCCACCGCATTCATCAGTACGGGCTGCGCCTTGAACGTCAACTCGCTTTTCCAAGAGTCGTAGGAGCGCAAGCGAGGAAGCGTCGCGTCGCCGCCCTTCTTCTTGGCGCCCTCACTACCCTGCTGGCCCCCGGCGCTCCACTCGGCATCACCCGTCTTGGCAGCCTTTCCTTTCGCAGGGGTTGTGAACCCTTCCTCCTCGGAGCCGGAGTCAGGTGCTGCCCTTTTACCAGAACTGGAAGCCG